TTGTAATTCATCAAATAATAAGATTTATTGTTAAAATTACATACCTCATCATCATCTCCAAATGCCATTAGGCATTGATTAGCAACTTAATTGTTATTGTCATCGTTTTCTAAGTTACTTTCATCGTTATCTGCCCCATGCGGCTTTAATTTTGTTTTTACTTCTATTCATCATTACAAGTTCATGGGTCATGAGAGACCCCAAAAGCTCTTAAGTGCTCAATCTTGTTAAACCTTTGCTTCTTGAATAACAGTCACTTTTGACTCCACTTTTTTTGGCAAAGATCTGAAAAGTTTTCTCATCAATTCAACATTAGTATAATATTTACTAGATCTCTAATTTATTCCAAATTTCCCTAGCCGATTCACATATACAAATTTTATTAAACTCATTAGAATCTAAAGCACAAAATAAAATATTCATGGCCTTGGCATTCATTTGAATGCTTCTCAAATAATTATTATCCCATTCGTGTTCTTCATTGGGCAAAATTCGCCCTTGGATGGTCTTGGAGGTATCTTGTGACCATTGACTATAATTCTCCATAGCTCATTGTTAAAAGCTTGAATGAAAATTTTCATTTTTGCTTTCCAAGTAGTATAATTTGAGCCATCAAACAATGGTGGTCTATAGGGCAATTGACCTTCAGTAAAATTAACATCAAAATTGGTTGCCATGATCTACTCGTAGATGGTTAAGTCAAAAAATAAATAAGAGCACTTACTCTGATACAAATTGTTATCCTAGGTAGGTAAACCAAGAGGGGGTGAATTGGGTTTCTAAATAAATTACCAAATTAAAAATTAATCAAATAATAAATAAATAAATATGCTCAACAATATAAAATAAAGTAACGAAATAAAATGAGCAAAGTGAGAGAAATCAAACATAGAGATTTATATTGGTTCGACATGCCGAGCCTACGTCCATTCTCTAAGTATCCTCCTCGGGAATTTGTCTACTATTTTTCAAATAGTAATTACACCACTAGCTTCACGAGTGCTACTTGTCACACCCAAATCCGGGCATGACCGGCCGTGGCCCACAGGGACTTAGCCCAAGGCACACGTAAGCCTAAACACGAACCCAATCACATTGAACAACTGAACAATAGTCCAATAATAAATAACCAAAACTCAATCCAGACATGTCACAATTATAAACGGCAAAATCAACCGTAATAAAAAACCAGCCAAACTTATGGGATATAAACAACCCACATATCAAAAATAATCCTAAATGAACTTCGATAAGAATAAATATAAATATGCACAAACTTGACATAACACTCTAAACTAAAGGAATGCCTAGAGGTCCATAGCAATTGAGTCCCCGATACGCCATGAGTCCACTCTAAGTCCTTCTAACACCTGGAAATGGTAGACAACTAAGTCAGCTGATAGCTCAGTAAGTAGCAACATGGATAGTAAATACAGTTTTGAAAACAGGTTCAATTCCAAAATAAGATATATATCACAGAAACTAGATTGGCATACAGTTTGGTAAATACAATCTGTTCAAAAAGAAGGTTCCACAGTTCAACACTTAAAATACTCATGTTCGCAAGAACATGATAAATGACATTTTCCACTTGAAACAGATTATAACATGAACACCAATAATTTTCTGGGTACCAATAAAAACAAATAATCTGCCACACATTTCTCAGGCTATAAGTCCCGTTGGATCCAATACCGAACTAAGAGTCATTCCTCAAGGTGGCACCTGGCCTTTTCTCAAAGACGATCCGATTAAAGGTCACCTAGTTATTTTTAAAGGTCTTTTCCTTACAATCGTTGAGCACTAGAGTCATCACGGCCCACCCGGATCTCTTCCCTAGTGGCCAGAGTCACCACACACAGTGGAATAATTTCCCTGGACTAAATACACACATGGTCCCAATAATCAATACACATCAGTTTCGCAAAACATTGTAGTTCATCATTATAAACATGAGACCAAAACAAATAGTTTACAGTATGCCAAGTTCATACATGTTTTAGAAATAATTTGATTCAATTGATAATATAATAAATTTATCAAAACAGTTTAATCATGAAACAATAATTTAATTTTCCAACAGTTTAGGGTAGGGGAATATTTAAAAATATATAGCATGAAACTACTCACCTGGAAACGAAATAATATAATCCTCGAATAGAGTATGAAAGTCCAACTAGTGCCCTAAACCAATATGAAAATTACACGTCACTACTAATTTAAAAATACTAAAAAATACGAACTAAGTAACCCCAAACTAAAGCGCACTAACACGGCTCAACCCAACTCACCGTTACCTTAAATATTATCTAAGTTCATGTTCTTCAAGGTTTAAAATCACAAGACATAGGTTCGATCGAAACTTAACTAAAAATAATTTTAAGATAAAACAGTGTTTTAAACAAGTTTTCTCAATCTATTCGCTAACTTTGAAAATTACAAAACCCACTCCACGCTATTTCAAAAAATCTAAAACCCTCCAGATATGATCTAATATATCCTAAGTTTCAAACCCAATTGGTTTCACTTGATTTGCTTTTTAAAATAATTATCTACAATTTATTATATCCAAACAGGTTGTTTTCTGCAGCACTTTAAAGAAATTAACGGTTCTCTTATATACACGAGAATCAATGCAAGGCCAAAAACGTACGAAACTAGACTCATAACCGGTTCTAATGACACTAATTTGATAATTTTTGGATTTATACCCAAAGAGAACAACACTCCCGAATTTACTGTTTTCGGACTGGTTTCCTTGGACAGATTTGAATACCTCAATTTATATGGATTTTGACTCCCAAAAATTATGAAAAAATTCAGATATGCAATTAAATGTGTAATTGATCTATTGTAAAAATTTCAGATTAAAATTCATCCGTTTGATATGGTTTCTTGATTTTTAAAGTTTGTGATTCTGTGCAGAATTTTTGGACTAAGAATTACACCATTCTTTATACATGAATTTAACTCCTTAGATTTCTTAACAGCATATATATATACACAAAATACATACACCTACAATCTCTCCATCAATGAATTAAATAACAATATTATTAGGATAAAGAACAAAGAAAGAAGAGAAGAAAACCTAGGAGGCCACACAGCACAACACACCCAAAGCTCTCCTTCTTGGCTACGACAATAATCTTGATGATTGAAAAACCCCTCTCTTTCCTTCATAAACCCACGGCTGCTAGGGCTGCTAGTGTTGTGGAAAACAATTATAACAAGAGTTAGGGTTTGTGTTTATTTTATTTTATACTAGTGGTGGGCACACTTAGGTCAAATAGATAGATAAATATACAAAATACATATATAAGTTACATGCAACTCAAATGGTAGGAGTCTAATTTATTAATTTTATGGTCTAGAGTTCAAGTCACACCCTCTTCTCTATTTTTTTTTTTTAACAATAAATCTTGCTTCTAAATCAATGACTTTCACCATAAATTTATTTTAGGTTTAAAATTAATTAAAAGATCCTCCAATAATATTTAATTTGCACTTAAAGATTCATAATAAAATATTTGAGATTTGTAATATTATTATTTAATTATTTACTTAATTTTTATATTCGGGTTCTCACACTACTAACCTCTACAGCAAGTGACCAATCCCAATCACTCTGATTAGTTTAGAATTTGGTGCCTAGTCACAATGAACCCAAGTAGTTTTATCTCAAAAAATCACTCATAAAAACTCTCTTTTTACAAGAATAATATGAATAAGAGATAGAAAACCCTTTTATAATTTTGCTCAAACTCTCAATAATTTTTTTCACAGAAAATATAACTCAATGAAGTACAATACAATATTTGAAAATATTTCAATATCACATATTTTTCTTTTCTTCACTTCTTTACTACTTATTTTTCTCCAACCAGAATACTCCTTATATATCATAAAATTATATCCGTTGGAGGAAGAGAAGAGATGCTCATATCCGTTGGAGGAGAGGTGCTCCTCATGCTGAATTCGATGCCTCTGACACATAGAGCAATGGGAAATTTTCCTTTTCAAATTTTGTAGGCAGAGGGTGGAAAAATATAGCCAAAAGTCGTTTTCGATAAATAATTAGGAGTAAATTTTCAAACTTCTCATAGAAAAATCAAATGGTACACAGTGATTGCATAGTAACTTTTCTATTAAAATATTTTACCGCACAATAACTTTAAAATTAAAATTATGTATAGTAAAATCTCTTTAAATAATATTTATATCATATCTGAAAATATATACTCCTTTTACAATTTTCGTAGAGATTTTAAATACACTTTAGTAAAAAATGGCCCACCACCCATGTGGATATATCAATTTTATCAAAAGAAGATAACCAATCAATATCAAATTTGTTAAAAGATGAATAGTGGACAATCGGATTTTTCAACACGTGAATAGTAAGTTTTCTAAAATATTTTTTGTAAAATCAGATATAGCATAGTAACTTCTATTTTTAAAATATTTATAATGAATATATCATACAACATATATTATAAACAGAAAATATTTTGCGTCAAAGAATATAAAATATGTATATTTAAAAATCACAAATTATCCCATCATATTTTAGATATCATCAAAATTAAACCACATGATTAACATATAGCCTACTTGCAAACACGTACCTAGAGATTCTCAGTGTGTTACTGCCCTATTTTCTATTTTGGAAAGAATGGTTTATTAATTGGGATATAAACATAACATTGCATTGTTTAAAAGAAAAAATGCATGTTTTGATAATGACATTTATATGCATTCATTTTATGACTTTGTTAAGTATTATACAGATTATTAAATTTATCTCTATTGAGTTTTATCTTATCTTAAGTGAAAACTAACTTTTAGATACTGATGATACCTCTGCCAAAGGGTTAGCTTGGGAGGATCGTGGCGCCGAAAACTCATTTTATGCTGAATGTGACTCATTATGGGAAATTTATATGTCATCCATTTGATTTTTTTAATATATTTTTCAGTGTCCATAGCTTTTCATTTGTATAAAAGAAATACAACTGATTCAATTGTTACATTGAAAATCTTATACAAAAATTAATTTATAAAAGATATTCAAATTAATTGCAAGCATATATACCTAAACTATGGACCAATCAAAACCTCCATCGCCTATGATAGAGATAGACTCTCATTGAATCACAAAATGCTCTTGACATGAAATAAACGAGAACAGTTGTACACTGAGCAAAAGGCTTGGAAAGTGGTCAACAACAAGAGCAAAATAGATGCCAAAAATGTAAGACACTGCCATGAGCCAAACACGTAAAGCTTCATGAACTTTCCCACCTTGACCTTCCACTTCCCATTGTAATACTTGTTGGTGTCTTCAATCACTTTGTCTAAGAAGGGCACTTTAGTCAACCTAACAGACTTGTTCATCCCATTCCATAGGTTGGCCACCTCTTTATCACTCTTCAAACGGTTCAAAATAATCCCTTTTTCTCTAAGTAATCTCACATCCTCTTCGGTATCGATAATCCCATTCATCAATTCAGTGTAACGAGCAAAAACCAATGGCCCTAATGCATTGCATGCCTCATATGCTACTAGGTTTCTCAAGACCACTTCTGTATTTAGCTCTAGACTAACAGTAGGGAGATACAATGTAGCTGTTTTAACATCGAAACTAATGGAGCAGATGTTGTCATTACTACTGGGTATGAAAGATACACCGGCTTTCAAGAGTTCAGTAACAGAAGGGATTGAGATTTCCTCCACTAGTGGAGGTTTGTTAATGGTGTTGTTCAAAGAATTTTGATCTTCGGGGTTGTCTTCTTCTTGGTCCTTGGGGGAGAATAAGCATCCAATGGGTTTTTTCAAAAGTTTAAATCCAGGAAGCTCAGAGATGATATTCAAGGGCAACTTCGATATGACTTCTGCAGGTTCTGAAAATAATACCCTTTTGAGAAAAGGTATCGGCCCAGCGTTTAGATTCGAAAGGAGCTTCCAAACCTCATCGAGAAGTTGTCTGACATAAACTGACTTCCCAAAGGATCTTTCGTTGCTCTCTTTAACTTCCGTTTGATCATCAACTTCAACAGTGTTAACATCGACTTCTTGTTCCCATTTTGGCACGATCACACGGTATAGAAGGTCTAGCAAGTGTGCACAATTCGTAACTTGATCAAAATTAGGCAATTGTTTGATCATCTTAAACGGAGAAAGCTCTTTACAGAACCCCATTAACATGGAGAGCAACATTTGATCAGCCAAGTCTAATGACGAACATCGAAATTCCAACATCTTCCTTAGCAGAAATAGTGGGATTTGATTCTCAAGCATCACCATATCTCTAAGAATGGCATTATGTGCTGATTTCCTCCTTTCAATATCAAGCAAATGTGACATACTCGATGAAACTCTTGTTAGCATGCACGCTTTACCTTCCTTGATAGTATAGGTTTGAAGGAACTCAAGCAAGAATGATGCATCAACGGCCATCATCCAAGCCAAGGTTTCACCGTTGATATCCAGGTACTTATGGTATGAAGCTCGAATCATCGCCTCGGACTTCATTAGTTGGTCGACTAGGTGGTGAAACTTGATGTTTTGAAGCTGCTTTTGTGTTGTTTTAGCTGCAACAAGCTTGTATCTTTGCATCTCATACAACTCAGGACGCCAGTAGTGGTAAGGGCCTAATGCTACTTCTTGTGGTATGTAACAATCCGGATCACAAACCATTAGGGTTTTGGGGACATTGAAGATGCTGACAGGGATTTCAGTGCCGTCTTCGAGCTCATCGTCTAGGGTTCGACGAATTTGAATAACCCATTGATCCTCGTCAAAGTTCGAGTTTGAGACCATGTTGGGTTGAACAAAAGACATGTATGCTTCTTTGGGTGGTTGTTCTTTTGGTTTGTAAAAGGTAGGACAAGGGAGTTGAGAGTGAAACCTTCTAAAATGCGAGGCTCTCACTATTGCAGTCTGAGAAAAAACAGATACATGCAATTTTATGTATCATGTGTCGTAGTTCTTTGGTTTGTTGGAAGGAGGACAAGGGAGTTGAGAATAATTTTTTTAAAAGATGAAATGTTTGCTACTGCAGAGTTTGAAAAGAATAAGATGTGTACAATTGTATGTTTCTTAAGAGGGAAATTAATGAAAACTTTAAAGAAATTTAATTGAGGATGGGGAGGTGAGGTAGTGAGTCTTTTATATATAAAAAGTAAAATGACGAACTTTCGTAGATCCTGAAGTGGTCTCACCATATCTACCTAATTAGGCTAAGTTTGGGAAGATTAAATAAATGTACTTTTTGACTTTTTATGAAATATGGGTTGGGTTTGGATTGGATTTGAAGTGATGTGTTAGAGAAGTGATGTGACTTAAATAAGATGATGTGATTTAAATAGGATAGTGACTTTTTGACTTTTTAAATTTTTTAAGAATTGCCAAACTTGACCTTAGTTAGAAATGCATTTCTCATGTGATGAAATATACATTTGAACACGTTATATATATTTAAAAGTCTACGTCTCCCTTCATAATCACTTCTCTTCATAGGTACAACACGTGGTATGTCATATTCACTAGTAGGTGACCCGTGTGATACATAAGAATTTATTTTTAAAATAAAAAAATAATTTTGAATATTAATACTTTGTGTAGAAAATTTTAATAATTGAAAGTCAAACATAAACAGATTTGTTAATAATTGATGAAAAATTTTATTACTGTGTGTGAACCTATATTAAATGCTCATAAAAAATAATTTCTTTCAAAATTTTTTAAAAAAAATATATTCTCAAACTGAAATCAAAATCTTCATTTATGTTAATCAAATTTACCAAAAATTATGAATTCTACTTATATCAAAATATTTTTTCCCAAAAAAATAAAAATATCGAAAAATATTATAATATGCAAATTATGATTTGATTATAACTCATGGTGTATTATTTTGGTTATTAATTGAAAAGATCTTTACTAATTTCTTATATTTTTTGTTATGTCTAAAGTGGTGGATCTTTAATTATACTTTAAGTGGTGTTCGATTATGATCTATTATAATATTTTTATATGATAATATTTAAGTATTTTATTACACGAAAAAGTATTTAAGGTGGGTTGACTCAAAGGTAGAATTTATGCTTATACCAATAAGATCGTAAGAATTATTCCCATTAATGCAAAAAAAATTGCAAATTCAAATCATAAACAGTGCTCTTAAAGGGAATCAGGTATAAAATCTCTACAACCTTAATAATTTCAATTCTCAAAGGGGTTCTGATTAATTATGTGACATATCATAATAATCGCAAATTTTTTATTCTAGCAAAATTATTTTGCATATATTTTCTAGGAGAATTCATGAATGTGCATTATCAATAATATCATAAATTTTAAATTTTTATTTAAAAATTATTCAAGAAATATCAACAGGTGCCTTTCATTTTTTTTATAAGCAAAGAAAAATTTTATTAACAATATGAAATTAAAAGTACAGGAAGATGACATGCATCAAGAGTGATTCAGAAAGTACAAATTACTTCTACTACTACTACTCACATTTATACAATCAATCTCTTGCCATCACAACTTTTTTTTAAAAAAAAAAACATAATAAAAGACATACCAAAAAATAAAATAAAAAAATTAAAGACTTAATTAAAAAAAAATCATAAATTCTTACAAAATCAACCTACACAACCTAAAACAAAAAGGGTGTGTTTGATTGGACGGACTGGAAAATGAGAGATTAGAATCCATCGGACTTGAATCCTGAGACTGTGAATCCCCCGGACTATTTGGTCGGATTGGATATGTATCCTGTGTTTGTTTTTTCATGGAATTAGATGTTTGGATAGGACTATTTTCAGTGAATCCAACGTTTGGTTGGACGGACTGGATAGGATAAATGAACAAAAGACTATTTTACCCTTTTTCAATTGTTTACTATGTAATAGCAATATTAAACATATCTTTAATATTTTAATTATTTTTAGTAAACATTAAACATACTAATGGTTAAATTTTGTTTAAAGATATTTAAACATACTAATATTGATAAAAAAATTTGACTGGTATAGATTATTTTTATTTAAACAATTAACATTGAAATTATTTTGATGTACAGATTATGTTTAAACAATTAACAATTAACAATTAAATAAATGTTGATGTATAGATTATGTTTAAACAATTAACAAATGTTCATGTAATTAACAATTAACAAATGTAGATGTAATCAAATGTTGACGTATTAAAACATAATTTAATAGATGTTAAATAAATATACATGTTGATGTACAGATGTTGAAATAATTTAATAAACATGTTGATGTACAAATGTTTAAATGTTTAAATAAAGCATAATTTAAATAAATGAAATTATTTATTGTTGAAATTAAACATTTCATTGTTTAAATAAAACATCTATTAAAACATTTATTAAATTTAAACAATGAAATTAAATAAAACATAAACAAAATTTTAAAATAAAATATCAATAAAATATCTATAAAAAATTATTTTAAAAAATTAAATAAATAAAACATTAATAAAAAGTTAAATAAAATTATTTTATTTTTAAACTGAGACATTTAAATTTTATTGAATTTTATTAAATATAATACATAATTAAATAGTAGAGAGTCAAAATGGTCATTTTCGCATATAATCCAAACAGTGATTAGTCCCCCACTTTCTGTCCCACCCCCAGGACAGGATAGTCCCCCATATGGGGGACATGGAGTCCGCCGAACTAAAAAAAAATCAAACAACGGATAAGGTACATTATTTAAATTACAATCTAAATAGTGGATAGTCCCCTCCTAATCTCCCCAATCAAACACACCCAAAGACCCAGGCTGCTCCTGCACCCCTATTTTCAACAAACAAAAATCTTCTTTTCAACACGCATGCTGCACTCCTATTTTCAACAAACCACGCTCTACTTTTCAATTCCAAATCACTATTCTTTTCATCAATTCACACTCTTTTATTCCACCAAAAGCTACAACACTTTTCTTTTCAATAGCCCCACACAAACCAAAGACAAGACCCCACGGCTGCAGTACAACTGATCCATAGCATCAAAAATCGTGACGCACGTGTAAGGATCATTGCCACCATGTAGTTTCAGGATCAGGGCCACTGTTATATGACTTGCACAACAGTAAATATCCGTTTGATGTACCTATTAAAACAGTTTATAAATTATAACTTAATATATTATAAATTATGATTTCAATCAGAAGTTGTTAATCTATTTAGTGTAACTGTTGGATTATAGATTTAAGTTGTTGAGTAGTGTTTGTTAAATAAGCTGTGAAATAGCTTTTTCAATTAATTTTTATTTTTTGTTTGTCTACATTTCTCATAAAAAATAATAATAATAATCTATAGTCCATTTGAGTCTTTTTCTATTTTTAAAAAAATAAAAAATAAAAAAATTTAAGAGTATAACTATAAATTAACATGTCCACAGCAGAAGCTGATAATCAAAAGCAAGGGTTGAGGAGCTTCTCAGAATCAGCTTCTCAGAATCAGCTTTTTTGAGTTAAAATAAGCTGTTAGAATCAGAAGCTGTTTGAAATAAGTTTAACCAAACAGTCCAAAATAACTTTTTCAAAGCTAAAAACTATAAGTTGGCTTTGAAAAGCTGAAACAAACACCTCCAATATATGCAGCTTATGAAAATTATCTCAAGCTTTTTTTTCACTATTCAAATCGTTTAATTTTTAAAAAACATCAAGTAAAATATATTTGTAAAAAATTAAGTTGATCGAATATTAATAGACCCTTCATCAATTTAAATTTGTATATATAAAAAATAAATATATAAGTATTAAACTGAATACAAATGTGAGTTGATGAAGGGTCTATAAATATTCGATTAATTTGATTTTTTACGGGTATATTCTACTCGATATTTTTTAAATATTAAACAGTTCAAATGATGAAAATAAAGTCTGAAATAATGCTCATAAACCGCACAACAGTCGTTACTGTGCAAGCCGCACAATAGTGACTCCATATACTGTAGGAGTTTCGTTGAACCGACCGAGAACGCCATCACACCTCCCATGGCCGGAAAAACAATGCTGGAAAACTCCCTTGACCAAGGACTATGACCGAAACACATCCAAAGACTCCTACACCTACCTCTCTGCCGACCACGCCTACCATTATTTCAATATACACAATCATTTTCGATAAATCATTATTTTTTAAAATAAAACTCCATAATATTTATTATTTGATATTTGTTAATTTATTTTCTAAAAATTTAACCAAAAAATTGAGTTCTATTATTTTAATCAATTAATATCAAATTGGACACTACACGTATATGTAAATCACTTCTATAAATATGATGTTTGACATAAAATCACAATGGAATTAACTTTAATTAATGTAATTTTATTTTATATTATGATATGTGTTATAAAAGAATAATTTTAATTTTAATTTAAAATAAAATTTAAATTCAAATTACTTATTTTAATAATCTTAACCTCATCATTTTATAAAAGTGTTACTCGAATACTTATATATAATAAATTTAGTTAAATTATTTATTTATTTTGATACTTTTAGTTCTATTATGTTATAAAATTGTAATTATCATATAATAGTTTTATATGATATATATAAGATTATAAGATAGTAAAATAAACACTCATTTTGATATTAAAAATAATAGTTAAATTAGAAAAGGAATTTGTAATATAAAACTAAAAGTGATTTTAATTATTTATTTTTATATTTATTTGAAAAATAAAAATATGTAGAAATAGAACTACACAAAATTTATTTAAAAGGTTAAATATAAATATGTTGTGATTGGATTAAAAAGAAAA